TGACCTCTTTGATAATTCAGCACTCATAAACTAAGATTGCGATTAAAATTGTTTTTCATTTTTTCAAATCAATTTCGTACTTGTTTAGGATACTTGAGGATATTATCTCATCGCGTTAATTAAATACGGTTAAATCGCAACAAAATTTCGAAATCGGTACATATTTTTTTATACCGAGAGGCAGGTCAGTTTTAATGTGCGATTTCTGCATCATTCAACGATTACGTGAGATAAGCGTTGTTACGATAGCCCGAACAAACAAGAAAAGACTCGTATTGACTTTGCATGTTGATAACGTTAGAATTTTTTTGTTTGTCCAATGTCTGCACGTTCACATCATCTAATCGGCACATTCATTCATAAAACATGGGAAAAATCAATGATTAAATCACGAGTTCATGAGATGAAGTTGAAAGTATTTCCGATCGGTTCCCCAGAAGTATAAAAAATTAAAGACGTGCTAGAGCATTTTGCCCTATGTATGTATCAATAATGGAAAAATGAAAATGCTGGTTCAGTAAATGATTTCATTTTGATCAAATGCAATACCTCTTTGATGAATTCCTCATTCACATCTGGAACCTTTCCCGAAAGTATCAAAATAAGAAAAAGCATAATAGTAACAAAAGTTACCTTTTATTCCCTGACGATACAGACCTGGCACAGTTTTGAGCAGAATAAAAAAATTTTTAGCCAGTAAAATTAGTGTATTCTCCAACAATTCCTTATAACGGTAGCGATATGAATTTTTTTAAAACGATATCGACAAATAAATCATGCAGTCATCACCTAATTTAAAAATCAAATTTTGACCTAACTTAACGCGCTTGCCACTTCGACTTTAAACAATCGAATGAACAATGCAGTGGCAAATTTGTCGATTATAAATTCACTAGTGGTCTGTTCAGGAATCAAGTTGCCCTAGGTTAAATAACAGAGGGGCCCCACGTTACGTCGCGATCTATTTCGGTACCGCAAGTATCTAGTTGCTGCACTGAAAAAAATGTGGCAGAAAACCACTCTCCCTAATTGTGATAAAGGCGTAATTACTTCCAGTTACCGACATGAATTAGGAAACTTCGTAAATGAACGATACTTTACCTAAGTAGAATTAACCCCAAAATTTAACATGAATCTTTGTTATTTGGACTACACAGAATAGGTCCCTATGACTGTATAGCGACTTTTGTAACTTTATAGCAGAATATTTGGTGTACAGGAAATCTGGTCCACCCAATTTGCTACTTGGATACAGATGAAACCTTTCCTATCCTATTCGAACAAGAAAATGATTCTTACACTAACATTTATAATATAAACCAACATATTGAGTGATATTTTGAGCTCTGAAAACGTTCACTTTCCATATTTCGTACCCTAGTCCACTTCGTTCGTTTTATTATTCGATGGCGATTTGTGTTGTTTACAGTCGCCTGAAATGACAAAAGTTGTTCGTACTCGAAGCACTTCGAAAAAAAAACACCTGTTTGATAAAAACTGGTCATGTGGTTACAGTGCCTTTAGAACTGTCAATTATGATCGTTCACAAGCATTTGTCTGCGAAATCAGCAGCATGGGGTCATTCTTCATCAAGACAATTATAAATTTCAAACATCACGATAATAACTGAATATCTGAATAATAAAAAACTGTACATAAACCAAATCGCTTCTTTTTGTTTCCAAACGATTTCCCTCAGAAGCCGTGGAGAGTATTATGAACAATGAAATTCTTCTCAATGACGCAAATTACTGTTTTTTATTCAGGTTCAAAATATAAATAGGGGCTCTAGTATCACAACTGATTTAACAAGTATGCAAAATTATGAAGAGTAAAAGGGGTTGCCAAGTAATAAAACGAAGGACGTTAGACATAAAAAAGAAGAAAATAAATGACTGATGAGTATGTATGAGAAGTTCCATTTTCAAATTGAGAATAAAAAGTTTATTGTCCAAGTAAAAACTCAGTTGCAATGAGGATTTGCAATTCCCAGTTATAGAAGAATAATATACATCTTAATGAAAATTGAATCATTTTTGCAAAATCAGTTTAATAATAATTTTCAAGCATAGAAGGAATGTCAGCCTGGAAAAAATACAAACACCGGAAATTGGATGTGGAATCTCCAGATTCACTGAAATAAATATCATCGTTGATTTTGCAGCAAATTATTTCATGATTCGTTTCTTCAGATAGGAGGAACTCAAATCCATGGAAACGTCATCAGTACAAAGTGGAGGACACTGATGTTGCTTCGGCTGAACAAAATATGCAAATGAAGGATTCCAACCAGAAATTGGTTTAACATTACAATTTCTCTCTGCAAATGTAGTGTCTTTTCGACTTACTCGGTATATACTACATGGTTAAAGTTACTGCGAAGCAAGTTTCCAAATTTTCGAAACTTCTCATTCAAGGCCTCAGTGTGTCCGGCGCCATTATATACAGTTCATCAATATTGATCTCTCTCATTAATTGACTGACCTACTCTGACTGGATCCGACAAGTTGCATAACTTACCAAAGACATCCGAATCAAAGTCTGAATGCCGCGAATAACAAACAAATTCAAATCGATCTTTCTTCTCTCTCTCTCTCTTCGAGCATCGCTGCATAGAAACCGAAAGTCTAGGCATTCTATTTTGGTCGATCCTGACATTGTCGGAGGTCAGTTTTTACGTAATCTATAAAAATTGTTCGCATGGAAGTTTCATCACATTTTATCGGTCTTTTGGCGGGTCTAAAGGATCTCGAAATTCAACATTTTACATATCAAATGTAATATGATACTATCTAAAAAAAACAAGCTTTATCTTTCTCGAAACAAGGTTAATAATAAAAAATTCTGATAATAATGTTTGCTCAAATACTTTTTATCGAATGTTCCTACCAAAAAATTCATACCGTTGCGTTATTTATTTGACGGTTGTGAAAAAGGTTGATTCGATGGTCGAGAATGAATGTTTTTACGAGGGACGGCTAAAATATAATCATATCCAGAAATTGTTATTAGAGGACAAGAGTAAAAAATTAATTACTTTCAGAAAGTCTCTTAAAAACACCACTGATGAAATTTGAATACGGCATTGAAAGGAAACTTCGGAGAATATTCAGAAATCAAATTAGAGGTGCCCATAAACAAAACTGAGCTATTCTTTTTTTCGAGTAACTACGAATCATGAATATCATCGTTAAGCCCGTTGTTGATAATCTGAAATGAAACAATATTGGATAACTAGAAAGTCTTATCCCGTGTGGTTACAGGGAAAAAAATAATAATACCCAAAAAATAAAAGTGAAAATTTCCTCACTCAACCTTTGCATTTAGGAAGGTAATGAAACAAAAATAATACTAAACTCAAAAAATAATATGATAAGGTGAACCGTAAACAGAAAAATTGAATATGAAAGGGAATTATGAAGCTTCCAACGCAAAATGTTACAGATAACCGAGCATATGAAACGGCGAAAACCTTAGTTGTAACGATTGTAATAACAGTTAAGTTGGCCATACGAAACGCACAACAAGATGTATATTATTTGAAATTATGATGGATTACCGATGATTTCGTAGGATCAGAAATAGCTAAGTGTGACAAAAACAGGAGGAATGATGGCGAAGATTTTGTATACGTTCCTCATAAGTCACACGACAGAAATTGTCTCTGACCCTTGAAACCTTATCGAATGTTTTTATGCATCAAGGATTTGCTAATCTTTTTTATCGACTCAATATTTTAATTTCGCAATCTCCTCCACATGAATTGGCGACATAGCACACAATCAGACGGTGTTTTTTCTGCCAACTTGACCTGCCTTAACTTGAGAAGTATTGCTTTGCCAAAACCACAAAATAGGCAAATCGGGGAAATAAATTTGGGACGGCGGAGAGCTCGTTTTAAAAATAAAAAAAGCGCAGCGAAAAATAAATGCGTTCTGATGGGGAAATGTAGCCCGTCATGATGTAAATTATTTTAAAATTTTTATGTGGGACGAAAATAAAACAGTAGCTGCTTCTGTTTGACTTTGATCCGATTTGACTTTCTGGAACAAATAATATACAGGATACGGAAAAAAGGTTTCCAGACTAATATAAATAAAAATAAACCAATTTAATGGTGTTTAATCTCTATTCTGGTCTCTAATGCTGATGATCAGTTACAAACCAATAAATATCATTGGTAAACATGCCTTCAGTTAGTTGAATAGGAATTTGAACTTACTTGTTACTATTATTATTGCCCACTATGAATATGTCAATCGTAAATACCGAATGAGCCTGAAAAAAGACTCGTTCCTCACTCTCAGGTTTTTGAGGTAAGAGAAATAGAATAATTTTGTAACACCAAACTATATAATTTGACAATTTTCAAAAGTTTTCAAACACCTGATTGATCTGTGGATACTTACTTGCTGGATATGATAATAATTTCAAAATGATATTGGTAGATCATCCAAGAAATCTTCAGTACTATTTTCAAGTACAAATCCAAATACTTCACAGTTTTCACCAAATTGAAATGCGTTTTGAACAACGACTATGACGAATACAAATTTTAATCTTCACATGAAATCTGTTATCAGCAGATTTTGAGAGACTCTTAGGTCTTTCGTGTCTTTCCTTATTTAGATTTTGTTTTTCTATTTTGGTTTTTTAGACATGAGGTAAACCTGTTCTCAGAGCCACCCGGTATACATGACGTTTGAGGAGTTTATAATTTTATAATCATAGTCAATAAACGGAATACTGAGCAGCTATAAGACCAAAAAAGTATTGCATTTTATTGTAATTTTCACCGATATACGAAGTTCAAGTTACTGTTTCAGAAGAAGTATACACCTTTTTCAGTATCCTACTTTTTCGATGCGTGGGGTAGTGATTTGATTTCAAACTATTGTGGAAAGTACATTTTTTGAATAGGTGTTTAATGACTTCAATCAACAACCCTCAAATTAATACCTCCATAAGCCAGAGAAAAAGTATAGTATTTAAATACTTACTGGTCGGAAAAGGTTGGTAAAACTGTTGGGACATGTGGTTAGGAGGCCTCTGTCCATGGTGCGTGGTCCAGGAGAGAGGATGTCTGGGGAATAAATTGCCTACTGGTGAATGGATGTTTGGTTGCAGCCTGGCCTTGAGGTCGTCCGATGTGTGGCCACTTGAGGAACTGTCTACGTCCGACACGCCTGAATCGGCTGGGCTAGGAGGCAAGGAACCTGAAACAAAGCGGGGAAACACTTCAAAGGAAGAATTTCTTTCAATACTAAAATCAATCAAGTCTGAAGTCTAGAGCTGCAGAAAGGGAAAGAAAACACTGCCATATAAGTTATATGCATTAGGGGCTGACATGTGCATCTTGCGGAACACCCGCGTACAAATTTCTGGAGTTGATAAAGTTTTGTGGCGTTCACGTTCTCCTGGATTATTATTGGCAATCCGTATGACCGTGAGTATTTCACTGAACTAATTTCAAGTGGCATATTTACGATAATATACATTAAAATAACCGAACAGTGAGTCGTTGATAACTTTACTTCTAACCGGTTTTTAGGTCGTCGGTCATTTGGATACTCGATGACGATTATAACGTTATAACATTTTGCATTTATTCATAGAAATCAGCAAGATTATGCATCAAATTTTTTCAACAAATTCCATAGTTAGCTCAAGCTGAAATAAACGTGATATTATATCATAGCGAAATACATGTTAGGAAAGTATTAACAATGAAATGAATGAAAGATGTTAAAGTCGAACATTATATTTGGAAATACATTTATTTTTCAAAATTCTTTTCGACTAATTACTTGATGATACGAGAGCCCAAAATCATTGCATCCATTGATCTACCAATAGACGGTGAACTGTCATATATGTCACTTATAGTATGAGGGTCGGGACATCGATCCAAACTCTTTCTTAACTAAGAACAACATTGAATTAGTGGCAATGACGTCTCCTCATACGAAGACATCTTGAAATGAATCGATAAAAAAGTCAAATAACGGATATAAAAGAGAGTTGTTGGTTTAGTTATCAACTACCACATAACTTTCGCGATGTTCTCCAAAGATACATTCTAGGCCTCTGTTGTCTGTTGGATTGAAAATTATTCGAATGAAAGCTATTTGTTCATAAAGGCGACATCCACAGTTGTTTATCAAATCAATCATTAAGTTAGGTTATGACAGTTGACATGGTGTGTGCAAAGACAACTGACAAGTTAGCAATATCTATTCAAATAACCTTTTTCTTTCTGTAGAAGACAATATTTTTCTATTGAAACTGTTACGTAACGTATTTGCCTTAACATAAACTGTGTAGGTGTAGTCTCAAGGAACAATAAAGTTGGATTGAAATGAATGTTTTATCTCAATTCTTTTGAAATATTTAGATAAATACTTGAGTTTGAATATATGTATATGAAAATCACAAAATCTTATGACGTTTTCCTTGTTATTGTACTGATAGAATTATCCATTGTTATGTACTTTTTAACAAGCAAAATAAATGAATTATCATTATTGTTAATAAAAATCAATTTGTCAATTCACGTCGATCCGCAAAAATCAGCTGACGGCCAACGGTCGGCGCACATTTGTTTTGACAATCGCACCCGAAAATATGCAAATTCGAATCGTAAAAATTCGTTCGTGAACAAACTGGGCCTATATACACTACCGGCTCGACGGGGAAGAAAAAATTGCGAACTGTAGGACGATCAAATAAATCAAAACATATTCGTGGTGGTGAATGAGTATGCAAATTGCAAGACAATTCACGTGACACCGTCCCACCGAAAGAAGTAACCCGAAGTTCTCACGTAGGTATATCTTTTGATCGAAAAGATCGACTAACCAACGGTCAGCCTAAGTAACGACATAATCTGGAATCCTGCAGCGGACCAAAGGGGTAGCGCCCTTGGCCGGAAGGGTGGGCAAAGGGTTGCCGTAGCTGGTCCGCAGCAGAAGAGTGACCCCGTCCGGTATAATAGATATGATTAATGGGCAAGAAGGTCGCGAGGTCAGGCCGGACATCGAGGGATGGACCGGACATCTACGGTGGATTTAAAACCTGTTCGATTGTTAGGGCTCTTCCACATGCTATGGGGTGTGTTGTTTATTTACTACCCTTCGAACAAAGACGCTCCAACTAATGACGATTTGCCGGCGCTATTTTTGTCTTCCTCTCGCTCTAGCACACGGGTTTTTTTTCACCTCTGCGTCCGTGAGGTCGCATTCTTATCCTGTAACTTGTCCTTCACGATATCTAGGAAATTGCTGTTTAATTTTTTCGGTGCTGGAATTGACCCCATGGGAACCGACAATGGACATTAATCCTTTTTTGGGGCTTAGGAAAACATTAATTATGTTTTTGATAAAGAGCTCGTAACTGTCCTTTTAGGAGTTTGAATGTATGGGAAAGGTTATCAAATTTATAACGATAATGTACATGATGCATGATTTATATCATACACTTATGGATGCTCCTGACTCAAAATCCTGAACTTCAAGATATTTCAACAGGTGGTCTGGATTGAAAATGACTTGAGAGAAATTCGCAAAATTACTTGTTCTGGTTCTAATGAAAACACTTTTTCCACCCCACAACTGAACCCCCAGATGTGGGAAAACTGTATTCATTAGATTATTTACGCTTGAGGTTCCAATTGTACCTATCAAGTTATGGGACTGTTGAATGTTGAGATGATTTGTACTGAATGATTCAAGTTAGGATTTCATTGTGTAAAATGTTGGTCCCAAACCCATCATTAATGGAAATTGACCTACCTAAAAAATATAGAATCTGAAAACTTGACAAGCATTTCGACATACTTGGAATTCATGAAATTGCAATTTTACTTCAAGTTATAATCAAATTGAAAGAAATGTAAGTATTAGTTTGAATTCTTCCCAAGAAATATTCAGGGAGAATAGGATATTATGAACTCACCATTTTTCAGAGCTTACTTTGAGTATAGTAATTGTATCGGAGAAGAAAAAACTACCATAAGTACAAAGTGTTTCTTTATTCATTTGTTTCACAAAACCCCCTCTTATGAAATTTTTTCGGGTAGCTATATCCTCCATCTCTTCCTATCGAGTAAGCACGTGTCAAGTATTTATTATATCTAACTGAATCAATTATTTATTTACTATCGATTACACCACCAAGACCCAATATATATTCCATCAAATCGTTTCAACAATTTTTAAGGACGCTGAATTCTGTTTGACCAAACTAGGTATTTATCTAGTAGTAGAGATTCTTCGACATTCAGTGGAACTGTCCTTGTTTATAGATCAATAATGTCGCTAGATTGTGACATTCCAAACTTGAATGACAGTAAACAAATTAACAAAGTGAACATTACATAGAATGAAACGTTTCTGAAAAAGTTGAAAACAACAGAAACAGTTGAAACGGTTTTATCATTTCGGTGTCACAAAGAATGTTTTACTTCATGCCGGAAATTACATTCACTTAGATAACATTATTGAATAAAACATGAATTTACTCATTCAACAAAATTGATTAAATTGATAAAAGTTTTCGATAATTGAAACATAATGTGTACGTGTAGCTTTCTTTTGATATCCCTATCTAACTAGATAGAGATTAACAATTTCCAGGTTTCATAATCGAAATGTATGACAAGTTGCGAAAAAACTTCTGAATATTTCATAACGGTAATCAAGCAAGATAAAAAAACAGCCATGTTCCAATTTAATCTTATCAGACCAAACTTCGATGCATGACTTGTCGGATCATTTTTGTGTTTGGCTCTTCAGCTTCCTTAAAAACTTTTCCTGCTAATGGCTGTCGAATACTTTCACCATCAACGCTGGTGTTCCCCAGGGATCCATACTGTATATCAACGACTTATTGAAAAAAAACAGGAATCCAATATATTGCTTTGCTGACGACACTACACTTGTCTCATCATTCCATTTGGATTCCAGGACATCGGCTACGGAGGCACATCTTCAAAGGCAGCAGGAGGTTGCATATCTTAATGAGGATCTAGAAGTAATTTCAAATTTGGGTGAAAGTAACCACGTTCAATTGAATGCCACACAATCGGTTTTCTCCAAAAAGATGAATGTCTCCTATAATAATGTCAGCTCAGACAATTCCGATTTCTGCTTCGATAAGTTTGTTTTGAGGTTCAACTCAGTACACCTAGAACTTCACTGTTTGAGAACTCTATCAATTGGAGAACTGCGTTTATATGGAATAAATATCCTAGAACGTTTTTTCAGATGGATTTAACCTCCAGCGCCTTAAGGATTCTTTTATAGTGCTTGTGTTTTGTCTTTAAAAAACATAAAAAAAGACCACACTCTGAATGTTATACAGTCTGTAAAACCGAATCAAAAACTTCTTTCAGCCCTTATACAGCAAAAAACAGCATTTTGTCATTATCATTCATAGCCTTCTAATCTTAACACCATCGTATTTTTCTTGCCTACTGTACCGTCGAGGTATCCATTACTTTGTTTTGGTCGGAGTGGTCCATTTCGTATTATCCTTCAGCCCTAATCAAGTGCTAGATCTTTTGTAAAGCTACTTGTAATGGCATTGTTGTGACAAATATCGCAGATTCTTACCTGGGACCCATCTCACACCTTGCGTAATGTGATAAACCATTTACATACCGACTTTTCTAATTTTCTAGGCGATAAAAGGCGTAAGTAGGTCGATCTCCTGACCCCTTAACGAGAGGTAAGAGTTGCACTAAATCTTTTGAGAGTTGATCTTGTTTTCTGGCACAATGGTAAAAATAAAAAAAAGAAACTTGTTTTGGATCTATGTACTGGGGTTTCTTAAACGATTGCCAAACTGATACAAGACATTTTTTTCGTGTATTCATCAATATTTTTCATAAATTACTATTTTTGATCAGAACAATCCCTTGTAGTGAGGATAATTAACCTCTATTCTGAAAGTCTAACAAATGGAAGCTACCATGAGAAAATCTTCATCTTCGTCATTTTGAATTTTTTGGAGTAACCTTAAGTTATAAAGTTTAATAAAACAGAACAAACTTCAAAAGTTGAAAAACATTTTCAATTGTGGCTCAGTGGCGTAATAATATGTTTAGAGTGTTTTTAGACGCAATCTAATCCTACCACGTGCCTTCGAAAAAATTTGATAATTTTGTTGGAAACAAGATGCAATTAAAAATTTATGAAAAAATGTCCAAGATATCAGA